TTACTTTAAATCAAAACCTAAAGTGCACCACTATTTGAAACAGTATTATGTATTTTATGTGAAATGTTTGAATAGATATTTTGGATTATAATGGTCTTTTGATATGTAAAAGGTTGATCCGAACTTGTGCCGTACCTTGTTTGACATCTATTAACAACCTTAGGCTTGTGCATTACTCCAGATCGCCGACTGCTTTCATTCTTTCCTTTATAAAATTTGTTTGTTTTTTTAAATATTACTGTTTATATCTTTTATGAGTGCCTTTCTTATTTTACAGTTGCTGTGATCTTGGCCAATCCATTTGAAGTTTTATTTCTGATACGTCACTTCTGAAGTCTTCACGTTATGTTTGAGAGTATGAGATGAATGTCGCAATCCTTCTGATCCTCAACATTCAGATAATATAATGAAGATCCTAGTTGCAGTATTACGTCTGAGTTCAAATGGTATGTTTAGGTTAAATCTCAAAAATTATCTTTTATCTAAAACTTCTTAATAGTAATATTATACTGAAGCATTTGTTTTCTTTTATTACCTCAGGTCGGTGCAGGAAGTAAACGCAAAGGATTTCTGAAGTCTTCACGATATGTTTGAGGGTATGAGAAGATTGTCGCAGTCCTTCCGAGACTCAACGCTTATATTATATAATGAAGACTAGAGTAGTTGGAGTATTGTGACTGGGTTTATATGGTATGTTAAGGTTGAAACTAATCTATTCTCTTTTAACTAAAATTGTTTTAAGTATTAGCTATGCTGAAGCGTTTGTTTTCTCTTATTACCTCAGGTTAGTTCTGGAAGTAAACGCAAAGGACTTCTGAAGTCTTCTCGATATGTTTGAGAGTATGAGATGATTGTCGCAGTCCTTCTGATACTCAACGCTTATGTTATATAATGAAGACTCTAGTTGCACTATTGCTGCTGAGTTAAAATGGTATGGTTAGGTTAAAAATTATATGTAATTGTTTATAATTAACTAATAACTGTTCAAAATCTCAAGTACTGAAGCACTTCTTTTCTATTAATTCCACAGGGCATATTGCTTGAACTTAAAGCAAAGCTACTCTGAAGAAATGCCATTGTGATCAGGAAATATATGGATATCACAGTCACTTTGTTGCTCACGGTTTTAATGTTGGCATGATGACTGCAGTGGCAGTAATAAAACTTAATTATTATGGTACATTAATGTGTGGTCATAAAAGAAAATAAATCTGTTGTTTAGTTGCTTAAAACTTTTGTCTCATTAGTAACCACCAATACCATCATTGGCCTATGCTTACCAAATGAACAAATCATTTGCAAACTCACCTGCAGATGTCTCGTAAAAGTTTACAAAGAAGTCTTTGTTTAAGTACCTAACCATTACGAAAAATTACCAGACTTTTTATGTCGAAAATTTACCATAGTTTACTTTTAAAAATTTTAAGACAGTCTACTTGTAAAATTTTTACAACATGTTACTTGTGAAAAAAATTACCAAATCTTGTATAATTACAAATTGTGGGAATATTACAAGGTGACACCTTGGCAACTAGTGTTCCAAGTTATTTCATGTAAAATCTCCCCCGACTTTTATTTACAGTGAGTACAATGGTAATTTCTCATACTGAGCAGAAGGAAACAGATTAAACGGCGACTTTGTTCTTTTTCACTTCCGTTTTGGATAGCCTGGGACACCCTATTCTCATCAGTCCGGTTCGTTTCGTTTCCTTTCGTTTCTTTTGTGGGTGAGGAAAGGTGAAGAAGGGTTCTCCCCCCCCCCCCTAAAACTAACTCACAAAAGAAACGACAGAAAAGGAAACGAACCGGACTGATGAGAATTCGGACGGAGCCTATGGCAAGAACTAATCTACCACCCATATTGGAGACAATCAGGGCCTCGGCGGCCTGCTGTGGTGCGCGTGCGGGCGCGGCGCAAGTGCATGTTTGTCGGGCACGTACTGCCAGTCAGTTTGACGTGGGGGCCGGGGACAACGCACGCCCAGGACGGGCGCCGCATGCATGTGTCAGATGCAACCCCCCACTTTTACGGGCATGATCGGTCGCAGCCTGAGATCGCCAGACGAACGTGGTGGACGCGGCCAGCCTACGCATTGGCGGGCGCAGCATGGATAATGTGAAATATGCAAGAAACCCAACCAAGAAACCATTATTATACGAAAAACACGGAATTCGAATAATGCGCCGTGGATGCCATTTCGGCCGGCCGCCGATGCGACACCAGCGCCAGACTCCGGCGGTGGCGGACGCGGGAAGCAACCCAGCCAGCAGTTTAGCGCGTACCGCTGTCCCGGCCGGTCGTGCCTGACGCGCGTTCCTGTGTCGCTCGTCGCTCGTCACTGCGGTCTGTCGTTGGGCCTTGAGTCCGTGTTAATGCAAGTTATATATTGGTTTGACCGGCACATTAATAACCGCGACTAAAGTGAGAAATCGGTGCCGCTAAAAATTTTCGTGTGTGCACGACCTTGGTGTGACCTCTGCCGATCGGGACGCCCTTTTTGACCTTGCGGGTCCGGTTCGTCTGTGGAAGAGTCGAACTTGAACCTCTCCGTGTGCCCGTTTGTTGGTTTCGCACCTTTAGTGCAGTGCATATGCAGTCGTAACGTACTCCCCGAGATGTGATCTACTGGCCTGTCACGACAACCTTCGGCCCCGACTCAGGATCATGGCGCCGCCTCCAGATGAAATTGCGACGTCACTTTTGCTTGTCTTTTGGTGAGTGCACATTCCTTATACAACTTTGGCCCAGAGTCAATACATTCCGGTGAAGCTGAAATGCAGAAGAGTGTGGGGGAGAAGGAAAAGGAAATCGCTATGCTTTAGCATGGCGACTTCCGTTTTCTTGTTCCTCGCATGCTTCTGTATTTTAGCTTTATTACCGGAATGCGTTATTCAATGGACCCTTTCAACATTAGCAAAGTGAGGACAAATGTGAGAAACATCAGACCGGAAACACTTGCTTTTAATCGC